TGTGAACTACAAATCCTGCATCATCACAGTGGCATGAATGGTATATTTTTTCAGTGAGTCTGGCACTCACATGGTGGAACACAAAACACTGTCATATGCTTTGAAAAAAGTCCACCTTGGTCGCTTTGTTTGCTCAGAAATATCCAGATGGTAAGGGCTGCTGCAGGAAGACTTAGAATGCAAAACACTGAATCTAATTTTCCTGACTGGAAATCTTACACTTGGTAAACAGTATTTGCTCAGACAATATTGATCAGAGGAAATGACATGAGAAAACACAGAAGACTTTGTGATTCATAAAATTAGATACTGTGGGGAAAGGGAAGGTAATTCCAGATTGCCCACAGCCCTATGTAATCTTTTTTTATTATAATTTTATGGGACATTACAAAGATAAGAATCAATACAAACTATGTGTGTGTGTGTGTGTGTGTGTGTGTGTGTAAAGAAAAAAATAGAAAGTACAGAAAAGAAAAAGAAAAAAAAAGAAATATATAAAGAAGTGACTTCCCCCTTCATAACAAGTATAAACTATTTCAGTAACTTATCACCTTCCCTTTGTTGTATTTTAAGAGAAGGTGATAAGTTATTCTATGTAGTCTCTCTCTCACACACACACACACCGGTAGCTTCCAACTGTGTTAGTGCTTTTCCTCCTACTCTATTAATGGATTTGAAGGGCCTATTAAATAATAGCGACACATAGCAGCAGCCTGTAGAAGGAACATTCAATATCACCTGAGTGTTGGGTCTAGCAGGAATTTCAACTTCCCACAATGCCCCTGATTTAACTTAAGTCCAAGGCATTGTGGGAAATTTATATGGTTTTTAACCAGGTTCTATGTGCTTCTCAGACCATTAGGGTGGTGTAGAATTACTAAGATTATCATGACTGTTACCTTGGATAGAAGCTTGTAACTTTAGTCTAATCATGAGATTTCCTGCCTAGGCCAAAACTAGGTAATAACGAACCGTTTGTGGCATCTCCAAGGCTTTGATACAGCCTGTTGGTCTGACAAGTCCACATAAACTCATGGGACGCTTCAACCCAGCAGCATGATGAAATGGGATGAAGCCCATCGGTTCTTCACTGCAGGAAGTAATGGATAGGAAAAGAGGTATCCTACTGAAGAGACAAGTCAGTCTTGGAGATTCTACATTTGCTTGAGGAATCACAGCTGAAGTGGGTGAAGGGGATTCTTCCAAGTCATTTTTCATCCTTTGCTCCTCTCAGATGCTTGAGCTGGGAGGGGAGAGGTAACCTTTTTATGCACACCTCCATGAAAGAGGCACAGCTACACTCTTGAAACTGGATAACTTTCCTTCTGCACATTGGCAAAAGTGAGTGTCCTGGGAACCTCATTTTTCTACCACAGACTGTATGGAAAACCAGGGATGTAGTTAGGTAAATTTAGATTTTGGTCCTTGAGAGGGGAGAACCCTTCTTTTTTAGGTGCTGTTGCATCTTGTTGTACCTCTGTCCAAATCTAAGCCTTCCTGTTCATTCTGCAAAGGAGGAAAGTAGGCTGTGGCTCCCAAGTCCTGTCCTGACAGCACCTTTCCTTTGGCCAAAGGAGCCTCCTTGCTAGTGGCAGAATGTGGCCTTCCTTCATTACTCGTGAGCCACTGGCAGGATGCTGGCTGGAGGGATGTAATTCGGGCAACATATGTCTGAAGGAGAAGGGATACAACACAGCGCCTGCTGTACATGGTCTGGGTCAGCTCTGCTTCTTGAGAATTTGCCAGCCCTGAATCTAACGGAAGCCAAAGATGCTGACATTTGATCACAGTCAAAGAGGACTTCAAGATGAACAGCTATTTGGTCTCCCAACCCTTCTGAATCCATTTTAAAGTGCCCCTGAAATTAAGCCAAATGTTTTGATGACATTCCAGTGTAGAGGAAGAGACAAATATGTGTCTGCAAGTGGAGGAATGGGATACCCGCCTCCATTTCTGCCATGGGGGAAGGAAAAATGAAAGAAAGAATGATTCTGCAAAAGGAGAAAAGCAGGATAAAACGCTGCCAGTTTCTTGTCAGCTTCAAGAACTTCCAGTATCTTCACAGGATGCCCTCCTTGCTGAAGTGCCATCTGACCCTCTGTTGTTTCTCTTTTCCTTTCCCTCTAATACGTTCTGGAAATGCCCAATCTCCAACTGCTTTGTGAATGTCCTATGTGCTCTCACAACAAAGTGTTTGGCTGGAATCACCATTTTAACCTGGTTGGAAGTTTCAGTATCTTTCTGCTTTATCACTTCACTGCCCCGTAACTGCATTTATCCCTTCAAGGAAGCAAATGAAATACATTGGAAGGACTTGTAATGGCTAAGCCCCTGGTACAACACCATTTAATCCTCAGGGGACTCAGACCACATGCAAAACAGGACAGCCGCTTTGTCTGGAGGTGGCCAAAGACAAATACATCTCAAGGATTTATATGGAAGGTAAATGCCAGGGGTGTCTTTTGCCCCAGGGAAAACCCCTCTATTTAATGCAGGAATATTGTAGAAAAGGGGAATTGGAGGTGTGGGATGGTAGAGCAGCGCTCTCTGCTGGTGTGTGTTATACAGAACAAACCACTGCTCCACAACTGTCAAGAATTATTCTCTTGCACACCACATTCAGATTAAGAGTCAGCACCCTCTAATTATGCCAGAGTACTCCATACCCAATCTGTGGGATTTACTGTTGATGGGTGAAAAGAAATGGAATCTTGTTTTTAAAAGACCAGGATTTGTTATACAAAGTTAACTATAAGGTTGTCATCCACACATCCTGCATAAAAGCTTGCAATGCAAGCCTACATCCATCGACTCAAAAATAAGTCTCATTGTGTTCCACCAGCCTTATCCCCAAGTATGTGTGCGTAAGATGATAGCCTTAGTTTATTATATTCAGCAATGTTCACATTTTCATAAATTTGCATCCCAACCAGACAAGATACTTTTCTCCAGAGGATGGATATCATATACATGTCTGTTCTGTCACCCGTGGCATTCCATGAAAAAGCAGAGAATCCAGATGATTTGTGGGCATTCCAGAACATGAACTGGCAGTGCCAAAAACTCTGAATTTGGAAAAGGATTATAATATGGAGTAAAGCAGATGTTTTCCATGCAGAAGTTTTCCATCATCTCCAGGTAGGGTGACAAAGTCTCATGAGGGACATTCTCTAAAGTAACTTTTCCAAATGTGATGTCCTTCAAATATATTGGATTTTGCTGGCTGGGAAGATAGAATTATAGTTGCCTCTTCCCTGTTTTGGAGAAACCTGCTATAAAGTGGCTGCAGTTGAGTCACAGTGAGTCTGAGCAACAACAATCTGGTATGGTATGAGGAAGCTTGTGATGGAACCACATTAGAAAGACAGTTTTTGCAAGTGGTAGCAGGACGCATCATTGTAGGAAAGACATCTTTATCTTGTCAGAGAGAAAGTGGAATACCTCTTTTAAGAGGCTTGTCAGTTTTATACTTATTTCTGCAACCCCCAGACCATTTGTCCCATGAGGAAAGAAGGCCCTACAGAGAGGGGAAAAAAATTCCCCAACCTCTCCTTTAAAGATCAAAAGCATAGGGTACTTTTAACCATTTGTCCACATCTCAGAGACCTAATTCAAGAGCAAAACACTCTGAGTTAACATTATATATTCTGCTGTCCTAAGTGAAATGCTACACTACCCTTCCTGTGTTACTGCAACTGCATCATGAGGTTATTACTGGGTAAAGGAACTGCACTGCACACTGGTAAAATCCCTTAAAAATCCTGTGGACTTATTTAGGATTAAATCCCATCAGACACAAGGGAACTTCCTTAAAATATGCGTAGGAGACCAGTAGAGTTAGGAACACACCTAGCAGCTCTGCTGTGATTTCTAACTGCTTAATTAGCTTACCCACTTCATGCTGATTCAGTGAACCTGTCTGTATGGAATGTTCAATTCAAAATATAGGAAATATTAAAACACCAGCATTAAAATGTCAAGAACATGCATTGAGACAACTACAAAATATCTACAAGGTAGCAAACTTGGTGTGCTTCTAGTTCTGGTTTCCTAACAACTGATGCCTAGAATAAGCAATTCCATTCCTTATAGCTTACAAACACATATTCATATGATAACCAGCCTATGTCTAGTTACCAGAGGCCAAGAACAAACAGGGTTTTAGCTACTTCCGTTTCAACTTTTCAGCAGTTTCCCTGGATCATTTCCCTGGATCTTTTGAGAAAAAGAATAATTGGGTGTTGCCTGAACAATTGACTTTGCCTTCAGGTTTGACCTGTAGTAGAAATGTTGCTATATTTTAGTCTTAAGTTCCACTTATAGACTGATTGCATTGCAAGACAACTAGGAAGACATATCAACATGGAAGCAATCCTCTTTGGGAGCTCATTAAACTAAAAATGGGACAAATAGCTGCAGAAGCCTTGAAGGGGATCTAACTTCTTAAATCTAGAAATGGGGGTTCTCAGGACTAGCAAAATCTTTGGGACGTTGGGGTGCCCATTTCAACTTTAGAACAATCAGCAATCCAGTAAAGATCAGGATAACTTGGGGAGACAGGTTTATAGCCTGTACCTTACTCTTAAAAGACAACTCTAATTTGCTGCTATGCAGTTGGCTACAGATAAAGTTATCCAGTTGTAATTTAGAGAATAAAGTTTCCTGATTCATTCAAAAGAAGTAGATGGCATTTTTCTCAAGTGTCTCCTACCCCACTAATCTGCCCCTTTCCCTGTTGACAATGAGGGAACCCTGGAGGGTTTGTTCATTGCAGCAGATGGAGTCAAGTGGAGTAATGAGTCAAAAATCTCCCTTGCTTCTTTGCTGTGTCAAACCCTAGACTGCTGCACTGGGGTACATAAATCTATATGCCTTGCAACTCTACCACCCACCTGAAGAATCCTCACATAAGTTAATCTTTGGTAAGGCGGTCTTCAAATTACGAAACTCAGATCCACCCTGGAGATTCCCAGAATGAGAAAACAAATGTAAAACATTACCCTTTCCTTCTTGGAGCTATCCATCCTACTTCTGTGATCCAGCATGGGGGCAGGTCTCAGCACCAGCCTAGGACAGTTGTCAAATCGGTCTCCCCAAAGTCAAAAGATGCACAGAGCCAATCTGCTTTTTTTCTCTGTCTCTCTCCCCACCACACCCTGTACGGCCTTAGCAGAGAAGGCAGTTCTTCTTGTTCTGTCTCTCGAAGTCACTCCACTTTCTTTGGTGGTTTATTTCATGCAAAATGTTACTTCTTCTCCTTTTGAAGCGTTTCAAAGTTTGCAGGGGCGAGCCTTCTTGTCTCTGAATGTCTCCTTGCCTGGTGATTTCTCTGACCTTCTCTCTTTTGTTCTAGTGCTTCACTTTGTAGTGTGTTGAGCAGGTGCATCCATTGCCCAAGGATTCCTTTTGTCAATCAACATTTTGGTGAAGACAAAGCAGGGAGCTGTTCTGCAGTGAGAGAAATACTCCTCTCCTCTGGAGTAACACAGTCTGGGACCTCCTCTTGATCCAGTTACTCTTGTGGACTCACCATTACATTTATTTACTTTAGCACTTGGAGATGCTGTCCTGTTTCTGTGGTCCACAAGGCCTACTTCCAGGGGTGGGTGGGGGTCTCAAGGCTAATCCTGCATTGCCATAGGGATTGGTGAAACGCTTTTGCAGTTCCACCGCACTTCAACTCCCCCCATCCTGGCTATTAAAGCTGTTGTGCGGAATAGCTACCATGGAAATAGGGCTTAATTCAAATGGGCATAGCAACCATATTATCTTTTAGCTGCTGCAGCCGCCACCAATTAATTGCAGAGCTTAGCAACCTGTAGTGATGTTAGGTCATCAAAACCTTTTTCTGAGAGGCAAAAGGTCAGTGGACATATATTTATGAAAAAGGAGAAAGGTGTTTCCATAACCAATCTGGAGTTAGCAACAACAAGTGGGCATTTCCTAGAATGAAGCATCTGTTTCTCTTGAAATGGAGGTGTCCTTCACAACATGACTTCTACTCTCAATATTTACCATGAGAATTATAACCTGAGCAGGCTCCACTACTGACAAATTAGTACAATTAAGAGGCATAAAAAAGAGCCAGTCTGATTCTTAGCTTATGGAGATGAGGATGTCCACAATGAATTCCTCAATTCGGGTTGGAGCTAATCCTGAAACCCCCAGGTTGGTAGACTGTAACCTCCTGACTGCTTAGCTCTTATACTACAAGTACAAAAGATTCAGTTGTACAAAACAGGATCTCCAAGAAACTTGCAGTCAAAGATTTGGGTGGCTTTTTACATAAATCAATAGGTAAAATTGTAGGCTTCCCTATTTGTTGTCCTCCTCCATATTCTGTCAGCTTTTCATGCTAACTCTTCCATGTTTTGGCTTTTTGTAAGCTTCTCATTCTCTCCCCAACTACTTTTCACCTAGGCTGGAGTAGTAGACAATCTGCGGCCCTCTAAATGTTGCTGACATTCAACTTCAGGCTGTCTCAGAATGCATGCACGTATTAGAAGCTGTCATGCAGCAATATCAGAACATCCACAATTTGCCCACTTTCTAGAACCTTTCGAAGCTTTTCCACCCATCTCTGCCTCTGGTTTCTGCTTCCTCCTTTGTCTTTCCTCTGGGACTTCTTTTTAGCCCACTACTTTATTGGATTCTTTTTTCTGGAATGAAAATTAATCTTCAGCATCAATCGCCTGGCTCCAGTGCTATAGAGCCTCTTGTAGTAATCATCCAGATGTTACTGTAGCAATATAAAGTCAATCTTCTTTACCAATATATTTCCATTGGGGCAGCTGGATTATCTCTCTGTCTCTCTTTCTCTCTATCCTTCCAGTCTTGACAGACTTTAGGTGGTAAACAACAAAGCATGGAAATGTAAGCATATCAATTTCAGTATAAATCTTAATGATGCACTAAGATTATATAAACCACTAGTTTGGGAATAACCTCGATCTGCTGCAACATCTTCCCTGAAATCCCCTTTCCTGAACTACAAACTGTATATTATTTTCAATACCAGGGAAAGGGTTCTCCTCCCTTAAAGTTCATTTGTATATTGCATATTACTTTTGAAGGTGGAAAACATGCATTCGAAACTGCTGGCTGTTGCTATTTGTTTCTTAAAACACATTTCTACTATATTTACTTGTACATGTATTCCTAAACACTTTTTGGGCCTATTTAAAAAAAAAAAAATCAGAAAAATATTTTGAAGATTCCATAGGTAAATAAAAACATTTTCCCATTCCCTTTTTCCTAAGATTCTCTTGGTACTTCTTTTCCATATTTTTCCGCAGCTCCTCCCAATCAGGATTGTGCTTTAAAAAAACTTTTTTATCCCTACTTTATCCCTCTTGGACTTTTTGCTTGCTACTCAAAAAAAAGCAATTTTGATTTTGGGATTTGATGACTGACATATTTTATACCTATAGAAATATTTTGTACAAATCATATGTATTGTTGAAATAGATTGACTTCATGATTTTTTTGAATGTTAGATTAAAAATTATTTTTTACTATGTAAATC